CAATCCTGAAAAATATTTGGGGGTGCTTAACTTTTTTCCAGGTGTATATTATAAAAATTTAGTTACAAACAAGCATCTGTAGTTTAACGTTAGTTACTCTAATTTCTTTTAGTTTGTGCACTTTTTTGTTTTTCAATACGACCGATATGGGTACAAATACAGTGATTGAAGAGATTTTCATAAAGTTTAGTAAACCTTAAATATTATTTTTGCCACTGATTCGATGATTGGGTCAAAGATAGAATTCTGTCTGATTCGGTAGATTTGTCAGGTATGTTTTAAAGAAGATAGTTAACAGGTTTTTCGATTATTGAAAATAAGTCTGACATATCAAATCAAACTGTCGGCGACAGAGTTTTGAATTAACTTTGCTTATGAGAGAAAAGAAACGTCAGAATTAAGGTACCGTGACTTGGTCAGTTGTTCACTGTTGCTATTAGTGTTATTTGATTGTATGATTCATATTATACTTCCGAATTCATTTGTTCTGTTTACTAATTACCACAAACATCTTGTTTCTTGTGCTGTACAAAAAGAAAAAAAGACGTACATTGTATATATATATATATATATATTTAAATATATTGCAGTGGATGAACTCATTAATTATTATATTTCTAAATTGCATCAAGTGGTTTTATTACATTTTGACGGTAAAATTACTCTCTTCTCTAAACAGGTTTGAATAAAAACACAAGTCAGACATGAAAAAGTGATGAATATTTTGCTTGGATGTACTGTACCGTTTCTTGAACTCCTATAGTTGTAAACAACTACATTGTGCTGCCATCTCGTGGCTAGCCTCATGAACGATTCCAAATCGACTCCAGGTAAGCTAACTGTTGTTTTAAAGTTCATTTTCTTAATACTTTATTTTCGTCATTAAACATATGATAAAAATATTTTATTTTTAAGAAGATTCTAAATATTTCTAAAGAAGCAAATAAATAATAATTTACGGAAAAAGAAGACGAGCGTCCTATAGTTTCACAATATGTGGCAAAAACATAATGTCACATAGTTTGTTAATTCGGAAATGATCTTAGTGATTCTATGTAATCATAAATTACGTCAATGCACCCTTTACTTTTAGAATGAAACAAAGACACTGTTACCAAAACCCTGTAAGATTAACAAAAAAAGAAAATAAGGTAAGATCAGGGCTGTGGAAAGCGGTTAGAGCAGTCAGGCCATGGCCTGACCACTTTTTCATGGCATGTATAATTACAACTTACGTATTAAAACTTGCTTTTTAAAATTCAGTACATTGCGTTGTGTGTATGCAGTAGTTAAAATAGCTCAAGACTCAATCTCACAGCATTAAGTTTTAAAAACTTTTCTGGGGGGGGGGGTATTCCCTCACATTCCTCTAGAAATGGCATGCTTTGCATGTGATAGTGGGCCTTGCACACATCGTGTGTCACATTGTTTAGCTGTAGCAAAGGCCTGACCACTCTAAATTTGCTTCCTACGACAAAGAAGATATGTGCTGAAGCTATAACTTCAGGGTGTCAGGAAACCTGTTTAACTATTTTAGTTCTCTTTCTTTGCCTTTCAGTTTCATTAGATGCTACTACATCTCCACAAAAATCGCAGACACTGAAAAATAGCTTTAAATGCCATGAGTTTGAGCACCAATAGCTGCTACTAATTTTTGAATTATATATTATAACTCTAGTTTCATTTCACATGCGAGACTTGTAAGTAGAGTTTAAGCCTCATAATTAATGTGTGTGTCACCGCTATGTCGCTCCTATCTCCACAAACATCTCTTGTTAGGACACATTTTGCTTTCGCAACCTTGTGGTGTTACTCAGTTTTATTTGTATTTTCTGAATGTACGAGTTTTTGTTTTTGACCTAATTGTCTAAACCTTTTTTTAAAAAAAAATACCATTCTAGATAAAGAGATGTAGGTGTGATACAGTTTATCTTCTTTAGTTGTTAAATTTATTGTGTTATCTTTGTAAGTATATACAGGCCTTTACCTTCAGTCATAAACGCCGTTTTAAAAACTGTTCAACTGATACTTTATTTGTAATCAACCTCTTCCTTTTTCTTTGCTTGCAAATTTATCGTTAATAATGAAACTGCGGTCTTCCAAACATGACCCCCGTGTTTGGTTATCTTTTAAAAAGTGCGTGAATATACATGATAATTATCCACGTAAGAATGAAAAAGAAACCTACCGGCACACATACGTATTAGACAAAATGGAGTTACGACATGTGGTCTTACGATGTAAAAAATGAGTAATTACTAGATTCTCATTTATAGAAACTTGTAACCACTTTTGGAACTTTTGTTTTGATCTATGCGTTTAGAATTGTTTTTGATTAATTTTGTATTGATTATGCCTATTGACAGAGAAGGACTGATACTGTAGTAAATGGGTTTGCATCATTACCTTGAAGTACGCACTTACTTAAGTGTTCTATTCAACTTTATATTATAATGTGGTTGTTACAATGTTTCTGTGAATAACAGGCTCCTACGACCTTACGTAGAGTAAGTGGAAGCTTAGATTGCATCGTGAGACAGAAAAAAATAGGGCAATGCTGGTCACAGAGGCCGTTTGAACTTTTCCACATTACTGTTTCAAATTATTTTGTTTAAACAATGTTCCTGTGCCACGATATTTATGTGAAGCTGTAAATAAACTTCTGTATAGTGCCGACTTTTTTTTGTCTGAGATCTGCAAGTCTACGTTTTAGTTAGTAGCGATCTTTACCCGACGAACACTCTGTCCGTGCTTCTGTGAAATACAGCGACCATTACTATATAGATAGCATCAAGAAAGCTAGCGGCATCACAGGAAACACGATGCTATGAACCATTAACATGAACACACACAAAAGTGGCCGAAGACATGCTGTAGTCTCGTTTTTTTTTGTTGCTGGTTTCAACTAACTACTGGTTTCGTTTTCACCTTTTCAGCATGTAACCATTAGGAGCATCTAAAGTGTACCATGTACAGGTACCGAGTTTCGATAAAAAAAAAGAAAGGAATTATAGATAATAGTTTGACCGAGTTTGTTTTTTTTCCTTTCTTAGATTTTAAGAGTATGTATGAACTTTATACATTCTTCAGATATAATGTTATCGTATTACAGGGTTAAATTTCAAGGGATCGTTGTTTGATATATAACACTGGCAAATGAAAGGGGCACGCTTTCAAAAGCCTCTTTGTGCAAACATGACGAAATTTGTATAGAAACTTAGTTTCTTTTCCTCGTTCATTTCTTGGTTTAAGTATTACTCATTCCGTAGACTTCCAGGACATCAGTTGAAATCAGTCAAGAACTGTGCATGTTTGTATGACATGTTCTGTTTTTCGAGAAAAATAAACGTATCATTATAATCATGCATAAAAAATCACGCTCACGAGCAGTAACTAGAGTATTATACTAAGAAATGATAATAATTTTGTATGTAACATTGTTTTTACTTTACTTCGTATCTACAGTGGAAAAGGCCCTTCATTTTAATTGTTTGTAAACACACAGATCTCGTAGACTTTGAACTTTAACATGTGATACTATAGAATGTTAACAGGAGTTAATCACAACAACTTTATTCTCTGTGGTGATCGGCTGACTTGTGTAACATCTTGGGATAAACATTCCAGAAAGAAGATGCTTCGGTGAAGCGGTATTGAAATATTACTGTTGTAGTTTTGATGCTCAATTAAAAAAATAGATGAAAATGGTTCTAGATCAGTTAATATACGGTAAGATGTAAAACAATAATTCCCCAAAATATTATCTATATTATAACTTAACGCGAGGGTGAAAGTTGTTGATCTAATTTCTTGGAACCATAAAACATAATTAGTACTAGTCGTTGTAAACTAAAACATGTATAAAGATTAGTTCAGTGCATTCTAAGAAAGCCAAAGTACAAAGGTAATCAAATAAGAGCTTCTTAGCTAGACTGAATTTCGGTTTTCACATAGACAGTGTAAGCAACTATTAAGTCTATAGCTAGTTGGTTTAGTTAGAATAATCATCTAACTTGCAAACTGATACAAAAGACAAAAAATTATTGTATAATATCAGATAGCTCATACTATCTATTAAGTGTTAACCACCTTCTCTTGGAGTTTTTCCACTTTGGAGCCCTTAGTGGGATAGATAATTATATAACATTTTAGAAGTGTACACTAAACATATAAAAGTTACATCCCACTTGTAATTGAACGTTTTGGTTGTAGTGGCCAATATTTTATCAAGAATCATTTTTCTGTAACTAATATTTTCCCACTAAATATACTAAATAAAATGTTACATATGTACTCTAGTAAACGTTAAAGATATAGCCGAGTGTTGGATATACAAGACTGTTTAATGTAGGCGTTATTATTTGATTTATTTTGTGAGTTAGTATTTAATGATTGTTTAGTTTTTATAACAAGAGAGTTAAAAGTTAATTATTTTAAAGACGACAGTTATGATAAGTTTGGTTGCCTAAATCGGTAAGAGTCGTACGTTGCGTTTCCAATTACATTGTTGTCGTGACTTTTCTAATATCGTTGACGTCATGTTACTCGAATCTTCGGTATTTTTCTCGTTATCTTAACTGAGTATTGTTAAATCAGCGCCGTTTGCGTACTTTACAGAAAGTTCGAGGCCTCAGTGATCAACATATAAATATAAGGCGACCAAGCGAGCGCAAGTTAAGAACAAAATAAGTGCAAAGTAAAGTGAAGTCAAGTAAAAGTTCAGTTAGGAAAAAGTTAGAAAACGTCAAGTTAGCTGGCGTGGGAATGATTAGCTTTAACATGTGATATTTTAAAATTAGTTTCACAGTTTAATCGAGAAAAGGCGAATAATTCGTCTTGTCAAAGGGTGTTCTAAAGTAATTGAACCCATCTGTGTGGACTTTCATGAAAAGGAGACAATTATTTAAAATTCGAGATACAACTGTGATAATCCGAAGAGTGAATTTATCGCAAATTGTGTAGTAAGAAACAAAATAGAGAAAAATAGTTTTTCTTGGCATTTGGATTCTAAAGTAATTGAATCAACAAAAGTGGACTTTTAACAAAAAAGAGAGAATTATTTAGAGTTTGAGATACAACTGTGATATCCATAGTGTAAAGAATGTTTGTACATAGTTTGACTTGTTTTGAATATATTATCTTAGAACGAGTGGATTGTGTGCTGTCCGTTTATTGTTAGAATTTATCGCCAACAAGTCACAGACACCTACTGTAGAAGAATCCTCAGCCCGCTCATATATAAAACCCTGAAACCGAGAATTCGTAAATACATTTTATCTTTTCAAGCTCTTTGGTAAAAGCTGTGTCAGGGTTTTATGTATATGTGGAATAACAATTATTCTACAGTAGGTGTCTATGACTTGTTGGCGATAAATTAAATAACAAACGGACAGCACACACTCCACTTGTTATAAAATAATATATTCAAAACAAGTCAAACTATGTACAAAAATTCTTTACACTATGGATATCACAGTTGTGTCTCAAACTGTAAATAATTCTCGTTTCTTGCCAAAAGCCCACTCAGGCTGATTCAATTACTTTAGAACCGAATTGAAAAGACGAACTATTTTTCTCTATTTTGTTTCTTACTGCACAATTGGCGGTAGATTCACTTATGTTACTCCATGGATTACTACAGTTGTGTCTTGAACTTCAAATAATTGTCTCTTTTTCGTCAAAGTCCACACAGATGGGTTCAATTACTTTAGAACACTCTTTGACAAGACGAATTTTCTTCTTATTTCTATTAAACTGTGAAACTCACTTTAAAATATCGCCCATTATGGCTAATCACTTACACACCAGCTAACTTCGCGTTTTATTTCGC